GAATATGTTCAGTAACGTCCCTTGTTGTGTGTTGCAAAAAGTTTGATTGATTGATTGATATTTCCGGACACGTCAACTGCTATGATTATTAATCTCAATAATGAAGCGAATGTTACATACAGGTAGATACCAGTGTTCCTATTACGAAGGAACGGCGCCTGCCTACTTTTCCGCTTGCTGGGGCTTTCTTCTTTCAGGTATCTCCCCATATAGAACACTGCCAAAGACGAGGAGCTCTTAAGTTTACGATTGGTCTCGCGACCGGTGTGTTAGTGTATGCATATGTGTATTTGTAAGAGGAGAGAACAAGGAAGAGGAAGGAATGATCACGCATGGTCCATGGGCCGTTCGTTAGAGTACTGCTCCGGATTTCGGCTGGTATTGATCGGAGAAACAACAGAAAATTACCGGTCATGTCAGCAGAACGCAAGGATTCTTCTCTAGACTGCGGTTTAATACGACCCAGCTCTATAGCAGTGACAGAAATTCGCCACTGTCGGGATTGGAATGCTACGTGAAGAGGCGACGTTAATGGTGGCTGTGAGATAACAGCCGGTGCCGTCGTCCAAAAAGACAACACCAGCCTTCTCAAGTGCATTGGTCTCGTTCGTCTAATGGCTGTCGTGAGTTTCAATACAGTGGTAAACGCAAGTGGGATTGACGATCTCTCGAGTAATTGAGTGACCTGACTTTCTTTTTCCTGTCAGGTGAGCTCTTAACCATACCCTCCAACAGTATCACCATAACTTTAAAAAGTTATGGTGATACTGTTTCCATGATTACAAAAAAGTATTCAACAAAATGATTGGAAGGGGCTTAGATATTTGGTTGACATTTACGTAAATGTCTACTATTACCGCCATATCCACCAAGGTAGTTCAATTTTCCTTTTTTATAATTAATGTTTTAAAAATTAGTATTAACGTGATATGTTTCAGGCAATTAAATTACCTAATGAACAATCATGGTTTGACACAATTTCACTCAAAAAGTTATAACCTTTTCAAGTGGATGAATGTCGGTTCACGGACGAGTAACTGTGTAGAAAATGTGTTCATTTTATTGTGGATGTGTTACGTACTGTTTTTTCAGACTTACTCGGTACAAATTCACCGGTGTAGGTGGCTCAGGGCATCAATTGATATCACTGCAGACAGGATTCAAAGACAAATTTCGGAAGAGTAAATTAAAATTGTCTGGTCAAATATGTCATTACAGACTTTGAAAGATGTCATAGTCTACAGTGAGCGCATGCGGCGATACGATTTGATTCGTTTTAATGATTATCCAATATATGTCTGCTTGAAAGTTTCACAAGTTAAAATTAATAGTTACTGAAAAAATTTAGGAGTGGGGGAAATTTCACTAATTTTCCTCCCTGTGGATCCGCGCATGCTGCAGGGCTTTTGAATGGGAGGACCTAGCTTTCCAGTTCCCACGATTCACAGGATTTTTCGGCGCTCTCTTGATAAACTAGGTCAAATACAGCCGCTGTCTGGACGAGAATTCTAGCAGCCGGGTGCTCTGATCGGTACTTTTCCGTGGTTCCTTCAATGAGCATTAGACAAATCGGCCGGAGCAGTAATCTAACAAACGGACCACGAACCACACTCGATTTTCCTTCTTTCCTTCCTCTTTCTTCATCCCTTACTTATACTTACATGCCCTACATCACCATACACACGCCGGGAGGTCAGTAGAGAGCATGGAGATTTTTCGGCGTGGAGCGGTGTTCCGCTGGTGGGAGATACCTGGTTGGGGAAAATCCCGCATGCCGACGTGTAGGTCTTCACCTGATCATGCCATTCAATGGAGCAATGTCACTACCACTTCTCACGATGTAAACATGCCCCACACTTACGGGATTAATTACCTTAGCTACGCATCATTAAGTAAACAATCAATCGGAAGAAATTGTCTCCAAGCTCGGTTAAGACTGCGAATAACGAAATTACTAAATATTGTATAATTTTATACACTAGATCAGGAGTTACACAATTTTTGCATTTACTCGTATTAGAGTAATGTGAATTATGTTAATATATTACTAATTGTATATAATAAAATATGTAATACAAAATATATAACAATATATACTTAATTATTCATTACTAAAAAACATTCATATGTGAATGAAACAATCTCAATGGAATTGCTCGCATGTAATTAATTCGCATCACCTCGCCTAAAATCGATTAGTTAGAAACATATCTGACGATTATTACGGTTTCCTTCTTTACTAGTTAAATTTGGTGTCGCCGTCGCTGTAAAATATTATAAAAGTATTTTCATGAGTTGAAAATTTCTAAACTTCTTACTTAGCTTTTGTTCAAATAAGTTGTTACAGTCTCTAGCATCGGACACACCAATGAATCGCAGTAGCTGGCAATGTTATACTCTCATTCAAAAATTCCAAACATTCAATGGCATGCCGTGATACTTCCATACAGCATATGAACAGGTAAAATTACAATATCAAAATTTTAATCGCCGTAAAAAAATACTTGCAGGTATGGATGATGCGAATAGTTACACTTTGTATGCTTTTATTGCTAAAATGCACATAAATTACTTGAACTGCTGATAGAGTTTCTTTGCGTTTTTTGTATGCTCCATGAGTCTTAGGTTTAAGATAGTGTTCAAGGAATAAACGTGTTTTCAGTGTTATTCTCACACTTTCAGTAAACCTTCTTAGATATCCCATTGTTTTGATGTATTGTGTTAGTCATAAGGTGCATATGATGTTTTTTTCTTAAGTAAGTCTGTACGTCAGTATGACTTATTGTTGACACAGACTATGCACATGTTAAAATGTTGTGATAAAATGTTTCAATTTGACACGTATATTTACACATCCGCAGACCGCGTCAGCGCTGACTGCTGCATGATCAGTTAAGGATTGATTTGTAGTTGGTGAGCTTCAATTCGAAGTATTTTCAAATGGTGGAATTGCCAAATAGATTGTATTATTATTGTAAGCATTTGTAGGAAATTTTATCTACTTTACGTTTTAAATAACAATTGTTTCGACAAAACGCACAGTTTTGCAGATGCAAGCAAAAAATTAAACATTAGGCTATTTCTTTAGCGTTTTGCAATTTTTTTCCGTAAAGCCGACCTTTTTTGAGGTGGAAAATATCAAATTCAAATTCAGCACCCTCAAAAACATATAGAATAGTTGAGAAATATATTGTTGGATTTTTTCTGAGTCAGATACCTTTCTACTGAACTAATACAGCTAGGAAATAATGCAGACGCTTTAGAGAAATTTCTAGAACCATTAGACAAACTTTCTCACGCTCTATACACGTTGTGTTGACGTGTTACCGTGCAAATAATTATTGATAAAGTAACAAACGTTTAATTTTGTGATTCAAAACTATACAAAATTAGGGTAGATATGAGAATGTTAATGTGATTCACGTTCTTCTATTGACACAACAATCTACTCCTTGCTTTACTTAAAAAATCTTCATTGCGAGAATATTTTATTGGAAAAGGGTTTCATGTCATTATTCACACCTTTCATAAACTATCACTTAGATCATAATTGCTGTACGTGGGTTAAAACACAAGAGCATACTATGGCTAAAAGGTTTCCTTATATTGATCCGTAACGAAGCATTGTGGAGTAATGCTTTTAAGCTCTAGAAAATCATAATAACGTAGGATTGATCGATAGTATACGCAACGTCGAGTACTGCTAGGCGTCACAGCACAAGTTAACGATGGGCTTTATCTTATCACTGGTACGTATAGTGTTTCTATTGGAGTTTTTTCGCAACTACATTGCAATATCGAATTGCCGTATACACTTTCCCTCTGTGAATGAAACTACCGCACGGTCCAAAAGTAATGCAACCCTCAGAGATTCCGTGATTTTTGGAATGCCTTCCAACGGCCTGTACTCTCAAACGCACTGCTCTACTGATGGCTGGAAGCGTTTCGGGCGGCATGCGGAGGTAATGTATGTTCTGGCATCTCACACCGGCAACACTGGGCAGTGTGTACCGGTGGATCGTGGAGGTGTTCTTCGTAACGGCACCCTTATTGGTGGATTACGGGATCTAGTCGAAGGAAAGATCGATGTGTACGGAGAGCCGGGCTACCCGGATCATGTGCTACAAAAGCTAGTGGACTACTTGTACCCACACGTGAACGACAACCTTTGCCTCCTGGTGCGCAGAGCTCCTCTGAAGAGGCGGAACCTGATGTTGTCTTTGCCGCCGGTTGTCGGTTGCGTCATTGCATTCATCCAACTGATCGTGGTGGCCGGTTTGAGAATCAGCAAGAAGGCTAATGTTGGACAGGCTTTTCTGGAAGTCGCTAAAACATTTCTCACTGGTTTGTTTGATACGCGGCACCGCTTGTTAATGTTGTGGGTTAGTATCTTAAGCTTCATCACTTCGAACGTATATGCCGGATGTTTCACTGGCTCTCTCATTACTCCAGGAAAGGAATCGGAAGTGGATACTTTAGAAGAAGTGTACAATAAAATCAGAGTTATCTACACCTACCAGAAAACGATGTCCATGTTTCATTCTATTGCGAAAGGAAACGCAATGCTCGATGCGTTTGCTCGCCGATTGACGATTAGAGTGGACTGGATCAACGCTACGGTGTCTTCCAACGAAGCGGCTATCCTCCTGTCGGATTTCGGCATCAAATGGGCTCTGAGACTTCCTGGAGCATCAATCGACGGCTTCTCGCTGCTGCACCCGGTCAAAGAGTGCGTTCTCGCGCCTGCCTACTTTTCGTTTCCCGTGCGGAAGCACTGGCCGCACCAAAAGTATTTCAGTTCTCTGCTCCAACGGTTCGTCGAAGGAGGTTTCATGCCTAAAATTTTAGCGAAGGATCTTCAGGACATGAGACGAATGGGAAGTAAAATGCTACACATTGTACCTGGAATGCCTCCGGTTCCAATTAAAGCTATTTCCATCAATCATATGCGCGAGTTCTTAAGAACATGGCTGGTTGGAGTTCTCATCTCGTCTGTTTCATTTCTTTTTGAGATTGCAACGTTCAAAATCAGGCACAAACAAACAAATCGTGAACAAATGAACCTATAAAATTCACTTGAGTACAGAAAATGAAAATCGAACGATTCTGTTTCCATTATCCTATCAGCCACGAATAAACTGCAAATAAATGTATATTGTGACGAGCCAAGAAACCCTCTCCTTTTTGCAGTATAAACAATATTAACACAATATTATATTATATTACAATATTAATTATATTACATGATATTGATAAACTGATATACACATTGACTTTCTGATATGCGCATACAGATGGGCAGGGTGATATGTGTAAATAAAGGAATCCGGGAAAGATGAACGTGCGAAGTGCGATGAGTGATGACAAGACGAGTGATAAACAGAAATACATTTGGACGAGGAGTAACCATGTACAGAAGAACGGGAACCTACCCTTTCGACTGCTGACTATCGAGGCAACAATAACAAATTTGGTACGTTGCGGGTTATCATTAGATGTGGCGCGTCGTGGGTATTGTTGCAATAATAATAATAATAATAGTAATAATAATAATAATAATAATAATAATAATAATAATAATAATAACCATCAGGCCCGCTCTTCCGCCTGACCACATGTCACAAATATACAGAGTAATGTATTAAATTACAAAAAAGTAATCTTATTTAAAATTTAAATTTAATGTAATCTACAAGTTGTAAGTAGTTAGTGGAAAGGAAACGTTATTTAAAGCAACTTATAAATAGAGAACATCAGAAGTTAAATGGATAAAATGTAACAATAATAATTTCGAAATAATTCTAAAATCAAGTCTGAGATTGAAAAACAATTTGAATTAAATAAGATTATGTGCTTTAAATATCTGCGCGCTACGCGGCAGCCTGGTATTCACCCCGAGCGACTGTGATCTATTAATACATTAAGACACCATCACACGTCGCTCGATCCTGGAGGAAAGCCCGCTAGTCGGGGAAAAACCAACCAGGCAGACTGTGTCCTAATACAATGGAAACTAAGCTAACATGAAGTAACGGGTCTTTGGGATGGTATCCTCAGCTGCGGTCCATGCTGCAAAGGGTGGTTTTCTTGTTTAAAACCGCCTCTGCTCCTACGGATGAAAGTACAGTTCCGGCAGTATCAAACAGGTCGTAAGAAAGTAACATTTTTTTACAAAGAAGCATTAATGTTATTTCTAAAACATATTAATCTTAACACTCCTAAGGTATAGTTTTTATTTTACCCGTAATCTACAGTGATTTTAATAGCAAAATTGTGTATTTTACTTTGTAAAAAAATCATGCAGGTGCTTCTTAAAAGATGTTAATGAAGAGGAGTTTTTTAATATTGGGAGGCAATTTATTCCATTCGCGGGCTACAGTAATT